GCTTGGGTGCTACCTCCACCGGAAGGACTTCCTATGACTTCACTCTTGCTGAGGTTTCCTTCCTAGGTGCTCCCTTAGCCTCATACCCTTTAACTTATCATACTACATTTAATGATTTGTTCACTTGTCTCTCCACCTTTTGCCTGGAAGCTCTGTGAGAACAGGGAAGGTATCTATCTTGATCATGATTGTATTACCACTTCTGAGCACGGTAGCTGGCACATAGTAAGTACCCAGTATACATATTTTCTTTTTCTTTTTTATATTTTTTTATTGGGGAATTGGGGAAAGGGAACAGCCAAATTGTTGTCCTTCAATCTTAGTTGTGGAGAGCGCAGCTAACTCAGCTCCAAGTCCAGTCGCCATCCGGCTGCCTGGCGGCAGCTCGTGACCACCCAGCTCAAGGTGCTTCCTTCAATCTTAGTTGCAAGTGGGCGTAGCCCACAATCCAACAGGCAATCTTGTTGTTACACCAGCTGAGCCATCCTGCCACCTGTTGGCAGCTCAGTGGCAGCTCAGCGCAGCTCACTGGCCCATGTGGGAATCAAACCAGTGACCCTGTTGCTCAGAGCTCATGCTCTTAACCAACTGGGCCACTCAGCCAGCCCTACATATTTTCTTGAATGAATAAATTTCCAGGATCCTTAGACCTCTCTTTTTAAAAAAATTCTCAAAAAGAGTTCCTTTTTCATTATTAATAAAAAAACAATTGCTTAATCCACAGCAACTCAATATTTTTTACACTTAAATTATTTATTTTGTAATTCCTAAGAACAAGGGCAGTACCTTCATAACAACAGTATAATTACCAAAATGAGGACATTAACAATGATACCTCATCTACAGATTTTGTTCAAATTTTGTCATTGATGTCTTCTGTAGCAAAAAAAAATTTTTCCCTTGTCTAGGATTCAGTCCTAGATCACAAGTTGCATCTAGTACTCATGCCATTTTAGTCTTCTTTAATCTAGAGAAATTCCTCAGTTTTTATCTTTCATGACAATTCTGAAGGGTGTGTTATTTTGTAGAATATCCTTCAGTTAGGGTTTGTCTGATATTTCCTCATGATTACAGTTGTGCATTTGTGGCAGGAATATCACAAAAGTGATGTTGTGTCCTTCTCAGTGCATCATATCATGGTGTCTAGTTATCCCATTACTGGTGATATTCATTATAATCACCTGAAAAAAGTGGCATCTATCAAGTTTGTCTACTATCATTAGTAACTTATGGGGCGATACTTTGAGACTAAATACATATCCTGTTTCTCATCATATTTTCACCAATTAGTTTTAGCATTTATTGACGATTCTTGCCTGAAATGATTATAATTCATATGGTTGTCAAGTGATGGCTTCCAAATTCCATCACTGCATCTATATTTGTAATTTGGAATTCTACCTTAACAGTAATTCAGTTATTTTTTCAAAAAGCATTTTCCTTTTTTACCGTAGTTTCTAAAAAAATAAAACAGGCTTTTGAACATCTTTCTACTTCTGCTTTATGCATATACATATTTTACACCCTCCAACCACCTGATGAATTATGGATGCATTATTTCCCATTGCAAAGCCCTTGTAGACTTTCCTAATTGGCTGGTTGCTTATGAGTGCTCCTATGTGGGAGAATCCTGTAGGGTCCCAGAGGACTGTAAGAGCTCCAGAAAGGACTTTGAAACAGGGAAACCTGGACTCAAATGGTTTTAGCCTCCCACCCCCTGGGCAACCTCAAGCAAATTATTGGACCTCCCAGGGTCTCACTTTTATTCCTGTCTGCTTGAAGACAGAAACTGCATCTTGACTCCACTTTGAATCCCTCATATAATGTGTGCACAAGTAAACCCACAGTTTGTATCTGCAGAACTGAACTATATCTCTTCTGTAGATATCTTAGTCCATTTTCTTTTTTATTTATTTGAAGAAGCTCCTCTATCTTCAAGTCTTTTTAAAGATTCTTCTAAATTCCTTTGAGGCCATTCAGTTTTTGGTTTACATCTATCTTTCTAAACTTTTAAGCTTTGCTCTTTTTGCATAGGTATGTTTCTACTTTCAAAAATATAAGTATGGTGCTGTTTCTCTATCCTGGCAGTTCCACTTAGATATTTATAAATACTTTTCAGATTTCTTTCTGGCTACTTAATGTTCTGCATTTCTACTTTTTTTTAAACTCACACTTTTTCTCTTTTTTTTTCCAGAAATTAATATTGCTTTCAGATAAAAGGATGGGGAGAAATTTCATTCCTGTTTGCAGGGGAACCCATATGGATATTTCCCGTTTCCCAACACTGGGCTAAAGTTAACTGTTTTTTTTGTTGCTGGTACCTGGAGGCTGAGTCAAAATTTCTTATTACCCCTCAATTTCTATTCATTACTTAGGTTTGAAGAGTGTACATAAGGTTGTGCAGCAGCAAATTTTGATCTAGAGATGAGTCCCCTCTATTTTGTGCACAAGTACAATCCAGGAGGGTAGGGAGTTAACAGCCCTGGGAAAATTCTCAACCAATACAGGATGAGAGTAGTGAATAATTGCTCCAAACTCAAGATGGATATCCAGGGGGAACATTCTGTATGTTTCTCAGAGATTCTCAAGGAATAAGCAGTGACTTCAACAATGCACCAATATTGACTTTTTTATTTTCTCACTCTCCTTGACCCATCAATTCTGTTCCCTGGAAACACTTCTCAAGCTACCAGCACCCAAATCATTGTCCCAGAATATGCCTTTGGGGGTGCCCAAACTAAGCCCAAAATTCACTCAACAAATATTTTCTAAGTGACTATTCTATGTTAGGCAGTGAGATAAAAGGTCTAGAAGATAAAATTCCTAGTGCCTGCCCCGAAGTGTATAATGGGAAGACAAACAAGTAAATGGTCACAAAAAAATTACAATATATAGTTGGAGATGCTATGTTATGGTGGCAAGAATAGAGTGATGCATGAAGACATGGGGGAGGAGTCACCTAACCTATACCAGGAGGAGGGGCTTCCTGGAGGATGCATTGTTTGAGCTAATGGATGAAGTGGATCAAATACAGCTAGAACAACTCCATATCATACAAATGTCAAATGAAAAGTCACTTGATACCTTTGTGTGTTATGCTGTGCTCTGTTTGGTATGCAATATATGACATGATTTTAGGTGATACATGGATAGACATTTTAACTTTTTTGTGGTTATTATGTTAATGTGTACTGGAATAAAAATAAGGAACACAATAAATTTGACTTTACAGAGTGTTACAGTTTAGGATGAGGCTTATTTAATGAGTTGAAATTGGCTTTAAAGAAAAATATTTTATTTTTTTAAGATTTTTATTGGGGAATTGTGGGATGGGAACAGTGCTGGGGAATTGGGGGAAGGGGAACAGACAAGTTGCTGTCGTTTTGTTCTTCAGTCTAGTTGTGGAGGACGTTGCTTCACTGGCCCAAGTTGGCACCATCATTGAGCTCTTCCCCGGGCGAGGCAGATCAGTCACTGGCTTCTGGACGGTCACTCACTGTGGCTGCTGGCCGCTCACGCTGGCTGCTGGCTACACATGGTAGCCCATGGCAACCCACTGCCACAGGGGATGCAGCCTACGCCGTCGCCTGCAACTCAGGGCAGCCCAGCTCCAGGTTGAGCTGTTGTTCAGCATCTTAGCTGTGGAGGGCAGTATCACTGGCCCTCATATGTGGGATCCGAACCGGGGCTCTTTGGCATCCCAAGCCAGTTCTTAACCATCGAGCCACTCGGCCGGCCCTAAAGAAAAATACTGAGTGAGTGATAATACCTGGATGCAGATTGGCAAAGACTGTGTGGGTGGTATGCAGATTAATGAAGTTTAGGAAATAGTGCTGTAGCAGAAGGAAAATATAAAAAGAAATTCCTGCTTTCCAGAAACTCAACAGCTTGTTAGGAACACACAGATCTATAAGAAACGATTAATGCTACGATAAATTTAGGAACCTGATACAGGGAGAAGATAGGAAAGTAGTAAGGAGTAAATTGAAGGAGAGGCTAGAGGCTACAAGATCAGTTGGAAGGCTATTGCTCTAGTCCAGGGGAGTGATAATTACTGCCTGAATTAGGGAGTGGCTATAGAAATGGAAGAAAGACAAATAATGTAATAGGCTCATGGCAACAACCATCCTGTGAAAACCTTACTGGTTGCAAGCAGTACGGAGGTGAAACCTGTCCAGCCAAGTCCAGGGCAGTTTTGTACACACACACACACACACACACACACACACACACACACACACACAGAGTGTAAAGCTGAATCAATCAATTAAAAAATCCTATAGTTAGAAGCATACTTTTATTTGGCTTTAGTTATCAGAGCCTTTTAGTGTGAATTACTCCAACATTTGCCTTATTTTTTTCTACTCGACTCAGAGGCTTCAGAAATGCTAACATTATAACGCTTTCTACGTGTAAGAGCTTTATATTCTGCATCCTCATAACAGAAAACTGACTTAAAGGAGGTTAAGTAACTTGCCGGAGGTAATGCAGCTAATAAATGAAGTAGAAAGGATTAAAACCAGGCGTTCTGTTTCTAGAGTATCTATTCTTAATACAACACCAGAATAAATAGATAGGGCAGACAACGCTAAAGCAGGTCAAACCTCAGTGTTGGATGATAAACACTTTTATAGTTGTCAGAAGACCATGTATGTATGTACTGAGGTCACGGTTTCTCCACCTGAAAAATGGAGATAACGACGCTAGGAGTTTGGTGCAAAGAAGGAGTGAGATAATGAATGTGAAAGTGAACTTTGAATTATGTATGCGGCTCCACATACCAGTTTTGCGGAATATGAATACGCGAACTCAACTGCTACGAATCAGTCTGAGAAGCTTGTAGCGCCAGAGCGAGACCCCGCCCCTGAGGCTCCGCCCACCGCGAGCGGCAGGTGGGGCCGACAGGTCTTCTTTGCGCATGCGGAAACTGCTGCCCGCTCCCACCTCTAACCCAGGCTGAGAGTAGCTGCTGTTTCTGAGAGGACGATTCGTAAGGAGGCTCCTGGCGCGGTTTCCATTTGCTTTTCCTTCTGCGGGCCCTGGCCGTACTTCAGCGGTGTGTAGACCGTGGTCTGTTCTTGTCTACCTGCTTGACTTTCTGCAGAGGTGCCTGTCATTGACCCAATAGCTCGCTGTCGAAAGTGCCGGCCCCCGCGCCGGCGCCGGCTGTAGCCGGGTGGGAAGGCTCAAGATGGCGTGCCTGTTGGAGACCCCAATCCGCATGAGCGTCCTCTCGGTGAGTGACCCGCCGCAGCCGCCCACCCGGGAGCTCGGGCCCGGCTCGCAGCATTCACCCCAAACGCGGCGTGCCTCCTGGGCACCACCCCTTGGGGTCGCCTCCGGTTCAGCTTTGGGCTGGGGAGTGAGAGAGGGTGGGCGGGAGTGATAGACGGAACCCCGGCCGAGCCAGAGACGTCTCCAACTCCCGGAGCTTCCACCGGTGCCGGTGCTCAGGACGGTGTCCAGCGGGCGGGGTGGTTGGGCGTGCGGGTAGCTGGCTTGGCGACGCGGCGCCGGCTTTGCCAGGCGCTTCATTGAGCCTTTCTTTTAGC